GCGCATATGTTCAGAGCATCTATGTACCAAGTTTCATCAAAATCCAATGAGTGGTTCTTTAGATATCAGTGGAACAGTCATAGAACAGCTAAAAATTAGCTAATTATCATGCAAATTAGGTAATTAACGAGAATGGATTTTTACCAAAACCTAATCAAATCTGCGCATTGGCCCAGAGCATCTATGCACCAAGTTTCATCAAAAACCGATGTATGGTTCTTGCAGTGGAACAGTCGGACACACATACACACACACACACATACACACATACACACATACACACATACACACACACATACAGACACACTAACTGCAAAGACTCCCATTTTGTGCTTCGCACATGGGAGTCAAAAATAGACTAATAAGTCATATGAAAGATAATAACACGTTAATCAAGGAACAAATTGGTTTTATGCCAAAATTCAGCACTAGAGATCACATATTTGTACTAAAACAATTATTGACAAAATATCTGACGAATGGGAAAAACTTATTTGCATGTTTTATTGATTTCAGGAAAGCCTTCGATTCCATCTGGCATCTTGGCTTACTGTACAAACTCGGAAAACATGACATTTCAGGAAAATTCTATAAAATAATAAAATCCATTTATCTAAACTCAGTGGGTTGTGTTAAATTAAAACATGGAACAACCAAGAAATTCCCTGTAAAAAGAGCTACGGTATAAGACAAGGCGATGGACTAAGTCCATTACTATTCAACCTCTACCTAAATGACATCAAACATCATATAGACTCATCTGACAATGACCCACCTACCTTACTAAACAATCACCTTTCATGCCTACTCTATGCTGATGATTTATTAATTCTCTCACAGACAAAACAGGGCCTACAGAATGCTTTAAATGCACTATCTACATACTGCCATAAATGGAAATTAGAGATAAATATAACAAAATCAAAAGTACCCGGTAATCATATTCAATAAATCTGGCAAACTATTTAAAAAAATGAAATTTCATGTAAAAAACCAGGAACTAGAAATAGTATCAAATTATGTTTATCTTGGAATTAAACTACATTCAACTGGAAAACTTGACATGGCACAAATAGATTTTAAAAATAGGGCTATGAAAGCAAGTTTCAAAATTAAACAATTACTTATTTCTGAAAACAATTTCCCTATAAAAATATATTTGAAAATGTTTG